TGGTCTGGGGAGCATTTACGGACGGTGGTGTACTCGAATTGAAGTTTGTCTCTTGTCGAATGAACTCGAAGGACTATCAGGATGTGTTATCGGATCGTTTGTTACCGTTTTTGCTTAACAATCAAGGACAATGCTATCGAATCCAGCAGGACAACGCGTCGATTCACGGTAGCAGATCAACAAAATACTACTTTACGCAGAATAACATCGATATCCTGGACTGGCCCGCATGTTCGCCCGACTTGAACCCCATGGAAAATTTATGGGCAATACTTGTACGCAAAGTTTATGCAAATGGCCGAACATGCAAGTCAGTTTCCGAGCTCAAAACGCAATTAATTCTTTCATGGCGGTCGATCATGCCCACGACTCTTCAAAAACTAGCTGGCTCGATGGATAATCGTATTCTGGACGTGGTCGCACTTAAAGGAGGACCTACAAAGTATTGACCGTAGTGATAAATTAGTGATACAACCTATTTTCGTTAAGTTTTTACAATTTTTTTGTTCTTTTTATAAAGTTTTTAATGAGTATAATTTTGACGCGGTTTTTGCCTCAATTTTGGAGTTTTTCAAAAATACTCTTTTACTCAAAAAACTGTTTTCAACTTTTGAATATTTATCAAGAATCAAACTAAAATTCATGTGCAAATATGAATTTTGATTTTGCTTGATAGTTTTTGGGAAATCGGGTGGACCTATCATTTTGATGCGCACTGTATTTACCCTCTACATGTCAATCCTGAATCAGAATTCTCGTCGTCTTTTTCAGGTTTTTTAGTTTGTAGCAAGCTAGCCAACTAGGCATTAGTTCGAATTCAGACAAAATATTCAGCTAAAAGTTAAATGCAAATTTTGTGTCCAAATGTTAAAATATCTTCTTGCCATTTGCCATTAATTTGCATGAAATGTCTATACATTAAATTTTCAAAAAAATCAACTTTGTGCCAGTGTGTGACCCCTGAGACAATTCTGACACCACGGCGTGCTATCAAAGCCCAGTGCAAAAAAATTTTCAGGTAGGCAAAGTGGACCGCTTTTTTATGGACCACCCTGTATAATAGAAACTTGCAGAATCCGTTTATGTTTCAGATATGTAAATTTGCGTGGATAAAAGCCACAAGTACCATAGAAACTAGAGGCATTTACTGTAGTTTTCGAAAGGAAACACGGTACTCGAGAGGAACGCCAATCGACTCACCTAACCTTTCGCCCAGATAACAAGAAGTATCGGAAGAATAGACACATGCATACGGCGCTTATAAGGAAATACCATCCCAAAAAATATAATCCCTATAATGAATCGATGCGCTTATAGTTAGTTGTCCATTCACACTCACCAACTGAAATTGGATCGGAATTCCGAGCCTGGTAAACAGGCCCTCGCTATAAAATGAAAAATAGGGCAAAAGAAGACCAACATCCGCGATTGTAATCCACATTTCCTGCGAAAGCATGGCCGTCTGGAAATAAAATATGAAGTTGGGATGGAACTTGATTGGTTTTTAGAGGTTTTGCCGTTTTTTTTGAGCTTTGCTCTTGAGTTTGGATCTTGAATGTTGAATGTGCTGAACCCTGCAGAATGTGTTTTAGCGTCTCTTATAAGCTACTGTAATCTTGATTCTAGTTTTATTCTAGCTCAATCTATAAATCATCGCTCCGTCTATAAACCATAGCTCAATCTATAACACAATAAACCTAGATTCATTAAGAAAAATATGAATTGGGCAAACGCCGGAGTCGTATAGCTCTGCCTTGGCAGCACCAGGGACAAGCTTTAAATTCCATCTTTGGTATCAAGATGCAGGCAGAGCCAAGGCATTTTGATACTAAAAGAGTACATATCTATGAGACAATCTATTAAGAAATCCTTTAAGCTGCTTCTCTCAGATTTTCCACTAACAAATTTCTAGGCTCTTCTACACTCACCTCTCCTAGAATAAGGTAAAATAGGTGCACTTTTGGGTCTTCTTTCTTTCGTTTGTGACGCAACGTATACAGCACCATGATATAAAGACTAAGTGAAATAAGCATCATTCCATAACACCATATCTCGACAATCAACGAACGTTTGGGTAACATTTCAACAAAATTCGAAGTGACTTTTAAATTCTCCTTAGAAAGCCACGGAACAGGTGTGGTCTGGTTTCCATAGATATAATGAGAAACTCCAAAACTTGAATCCAAAAAGCGAATTATAAAAGTTCAAGGTATATAGAGAAATTGAAGGAATTGTCAGGTGAATCCAGAGGCCATTTGCAGATGAAAAGAAGCCAACGTCTTAATGAATTTCTTTCCTATTTGAGCTTAACAGATAGGCAGGTGTTTTTTGTTCCCGGAATCAATTGCATTGCTTGCTTGGCCAGAAAATTTATGGATTACGAAGTGAGGAACTAGAGTGGTCCCTTCAAGTGACGGGTTTTCCAGACTGTGAATAATTTGGGGAAACTACCATAATCTTACTATTAGACTCATGTTTTTGGCGAACACCAGAGTCAGAGTCCCAACTAATTTGTGGCTCAGACACGTGTGGATTTGGTGGTTATCTGTTAGTCGGTTTTGGATTATTTACAGCGTGACGTTTTTGCACTTGAAGCAGCGATCCGTTTGGCCTGGAGCGATCTCGACGTCGATGCTCTTCAAAACTTCATAATTTCAATGCCACACCGCGTTTTTCAGGTATTTAATTGTTCTGCTGCGTGTACAGATTATTAATTTTTATTTTCGCTTTTTATTGTTGATTTTTGTCTAAAAATAAAAACGTTTTCAGAGTGCGCTTAAAAATTTGAAACGGTTGATTTACCAAAAATTTTTGCTTTTAGTATGTATGCTTATTATTCGTGTTTTCTAGGTTTTAAGACTCGCTCTTTCCAATAGAAAATGAATAATAGCGTTGTTGAAAATGTAAAAATCTTTATTTTGGAGGGTGCACTTAAGAATTCGAAACGCACTGTATAAGTGCATTGATTTATTATAGAGACTATATTTTTTGGGATGGTATTTCCTTTCAAGCGCCGTATGCATTTGTCTATTCTTCTGATACTTTTTGTTATCTCGGCGAAGAGCCATGTAAATCGATTGGCGTTTCTCTTCAGTACCGTGTTTTCTAAAATGTGCTAACTTTTGAAAGGTACAATAAATATCCTCTAGTTCTCTAGTTTCTATGATACTTGAGACTTTTAACTTACATCTCTAAAATTTAAACGGTATTCTGCAAGTTCATATTATATAAAGTCGTCAAAAAAGTCTTGGCCGACCAATGTTTTCTCATTTTTCTCCCGTTAGATCGCATTCAAATAAATCGACCCCAATTCGTTTTTTTTAGTATTTTGTGAGAGCCTTAAGATGATATTCTGGGATTTTTGATGCCGCTCTAAATAGAATTTCTCAAGCTATTGGGTTGGGGAGAATGAGTCGGCGCCGAAAATCAAAAAAAATGTCTAAAACTTCTATTCGACTTCGTCAAATAATATGCGTTTGATATCAGTAGAATGGTTAACTAATTCTCTACAAAATGACATTTAAAAGAAAATTCAAACAGCGCCTCCGCTCAAGAAAAAGCCATTTTTTCACAAAAACTACAAACTGTCATCTAGAAAAAACCATTGGTGGGATCTTCCTGCAAATTTGGCAACTTAAGTAATTGAATGTGCTCTATCTTTTTATATAAACACCAAAGAAGGTTTATGTGAAAGAAACTGTTCAAATGATGAGTCGGACTCTTTGCCATTTTAACCAGCTGCGTTTGGAAGTTCATAAACTCCACGAAAGAAAAGCTTTGTGGAATCTCCCAAAAGTCATTTTGTAGAGAAATAGTGGATCCTTTTGATGAAACCAAACGTATGTTTAAAGAAGGCTTTATGTGTGCAAAAAGTCCCTTTAAAGTTTGGCGCCGACTCATTCTCCCCAACCCAATATTTTTGGATATGAGCGTAAGGTCCTTTTTCTCAAATTTTGTTCAAGGCGTCAAAAGTGCCAGTAGTGCTTTTGAATCGACTGTTGGCATGGCTGCGCAAAAGGATTCGACAAGGGAAAGCATGCCGACAGTCTCTACAAAAAAGCCTCCAGTCAAGAAGGGCCGACCTCCAGAGAGGATTAACTCTACGAAGATTTACACGCCTGGGTTGCGCTTTCGCAAAGCACACTCCTTGCCAGATGTAAACCAACCACTAGCAAAGAATTTTCGAGATGAAAGGGAAAACGATTAGGGTGCCTTTTTCACTCACTCATTGGAACGGAGGCTTGAAAAGAAACTGTTTTCTCATTTTTCTCCCGTTAGATCGCATTCAAATAAATCGACCCCAATTCGTTTTTTTAGTATTTTGTGGGGGCCTTAAGATGATATTCTTAGATTTTTGATGCCGCTCTAAATAGAATCTTTCAAGCTATTTTTGGATAAGAGGGTAAGGTCCTTTTTCTCAAATTTTGTTCAAGGCTTCAAAAGTGCCTTTCGCTTTCCGTTTTCACCAGAACAAAATAAATAAATAAGTAATAGACGATCCAATGCCATTATAATTGGAACCGTTTTCAATGGGATCCATTCATTGTTGAAATACAGATTTTTCCGCTACTAAACAAACATTCTATACAAGTTTAAGGCCAAATTATGAGTATGATTGAACACATTTATATGGAAGAACTAGTAAAATATTGCAGTTTTAGTGAAAATCTCAATGTTTGTACTACGGAGTTTGAAAGAATCGTTTCGAATTCCCCCGGCAAGACTGTAGTTTTATTCCTAACTGACCAATTTCTATGGTTTCTGCTCGATTTTCCATCATTTTCTTTCTCTTATCACCACCGCACAAACAAGAATGAAAGTTGGAGAAAAGGGGAAAGAGAAGAGTGTCTGAATAGTTTTGTTTATCTTTACTCTTTGCTCCTCCCACCTCTCCTTTCTCTTCCTTATCGTGTTTTGTTTCACCTTTAAAATACCCAAGAATTCAAGCTAGCATTTGATTTACGGCAGTTTACGAAATTCTCTCAGTAGTTCGTTTTAATATGGACAAAGCGTGTAAGTGTTTTTTTGCTTTAATTTTGCTTGGAATTTTGCTGTTTTTCTGCTTTTTGCTTTTGATTTTTTAGATTAGAGGGATTCCATCTGTGCAAAACTACTTTTTAAAAGATATATTAAAGGTGTTTTGCTATATTTCCCTAATCCTGGGAATTTTTGAACATTCATGTTTTGAGTAGTTTTTCAAAACAATTCCGCACAGTTGGAAAAATCGATTTTGTTAAATTAGCTATAATCGTTGAACTAGATATTGAAACTATCTCAATTTCAAAACTTTTTCTTTTAGTGGTGCTTGTTACCGGAGCCTCCGGCTATCTAGGCGCTCATTGTGTGAAAGTTCTTCTCGGCAGGGGATATCGAGTTCGGGGAACGGTTCGATCACTCAAAAACGCACTTAAGGTAAAACCCAACTTCAGTTACAACTAGAGTGTACTCCTCTCAAATCATGTTTTCTAAAAAGTTCTAAACCACCGTAATCTCGCAGTTCATAAGTAGAAAGTTATTTTTATTTTCCAAAGACAAAATTAGTCAGTCAGAGTTTCTTCTGCCTCCTGAAGTTTCTTTTCTTTCGTGTTTTTCTTTTCCTCTTCTTTCTTACGTTCTTTCACGAAAGAAAAGCTATTAATGCCAGTAGATTTTTTAAATATAAAAAATATACAGAAAAAAACTGACTTGGCACGTTGTTTATCGTTTTCTCCTTTGGTTGACCATTTTCTTCCCTTGTTCGTTGTTTCTAAAAACAAAAATTTGTTTAAAATTATAAAATTCCGATAACGGATAGAAAAAAGAAGCAAAACTTTAGAAATAATCAAAGAAAAGCGCTAAAAAAGCGTTTAGAAAAGCGCGCTTTTTAGAAAATGACTTTGCTAACGAGCACCTTTTAGAAAATATGATTTGAACGATTTGATTTGAGAGGAACACACTCTATTTAAAACTCTTTTAATCTAACTCTTTCACTGAAATATTCTTGTTAATATTTATGTCAGTTAGATGATGAATTTACAGGTGGAACCGGTGAAGAAGCTTGATCCGAGTGGAAAACTTCTCACACTCATCGAGGCCGATCTCAACAAAAAGGATGGATGGGAAAAGTGAGCTGTTAATAAGGAATTTATAAGCTTATATAAGCTATATAAGCTTCTGAATTCTCTATATTTTTTCCAAATTTTTGTCCATATTTTTGCAAATACTAGCTTCAGTGCTGTGGCTGGTTGTGAATATGTGCTTCATGTGGCCTCTCCATTTCCACTTGGTGGCACCCAAGAGACCATTGACACGGCTATTGCTGGCACCAAGAACGTTTTTGAGGTAGAGAAATATTAGGCTCTTAATTTTGAATGGTAGATCATCAGCATTTGATCTTCAGATCGATTTTTAACTTGTTTTTTAGGCTTGCGCCAAGGAAACTTCAGTCAAAAAGGTCGTGCTAACGAGTAGTTTGGTCGCTGTTTCAGGTGGATTTGTGATCTTGTTTTTTTGACCTTGTTTTTCTTGATCTCTTAACTATAATCTCAAGTTATTCACTTTATTTCTAATATTAAATTGCTAAGTCTACAAAAATCTTAGCTTTTAAAAGCTCTAGTTTTCTAAAGTTTCCATTCAGAGGGTCATCGTGCTGAAACGAGACGTTTAACAGAGGATGACTGGTCGATTTTAGAGGTGCTTAAAAAGATTAAAAAAGAAATTGCTATACTTTATCATATATAACAACAGAATCACATATTTATGACAAAGTTTATATTACAATTCAGGGATCGATAGCCTACGTGAAATCGAAGACGCTCGCTGAGAAAGCCGCTTGGGATTTCGTGAAGGAAAAGAAACACAAGAACAAGTAGGGTATAAAAAGATTCAGTGAATGTGTACGATTATATTTTAATGTCATATGGAATTATATATGATATGAAAGAGAATATAAATCCTTTAGTTTTCCCCTTACCGTAATCCTCCCCGGTGCCATCATGGGACCTCCACTAACCGATGATAAAGGAACGAGCGTTGAAGTGAGTCAAACTCTTTACAGAACAATGATAGTTACCTCTTTAGCTCTATTTTTGGTACATGTGAATCTTATCTCCACAAAGTAAATTTGCATATGATATACAAATTTACATATTGCATTAAAATTTGTATTTTAAAAGAGTATAAAAGGCAACTTTTTGGAGTTTTTAAAAATCCGCTTAAGCTTGAGCAGAACTTGAGCCTTAGCGGGATGCTGGGTAGCAATGTCGGCCATAATTTGTGTGCGTGTCGGCTAAATTCTTTCCTTTGTTGCGTTGACGCCAAATAAATCCAAGTAGGTAAGAGTCGAGGTGTTTCCTCTTTGGCCTTTGTTTCTCCACTTGGCACTTCCCCAAAGTAGTTCAATATCGATATGCAAATTTAAGCTAAAGTTCAAATTGGATAAACTTGCGGGGACAAGATTCACAAATGCCCTATTTGAAAAAATATAATATTTGTAACACAAGTGAGTCAGAATAAGGTCTAGAATCAAAGCTTCCGGACTAAAATATTCGGTTGATGCATAAATCTTTACAATTTTTTAAAAATAATGCCGCTACCAACAAAATTTCGATTTAAATCATTAAAAAGCTGGATTATTTCTCTGAAAAATGGCTTTTTGGGAAATTCTTGAAAGTAGTTGTTTTTGTGGATTTTCAAAGGCGAAAATGTGAGCACCCAAAACTGCTCCGATGCCGAAGTCGCAATTTCGGCACTTTCTTCAATACAAACCTATTTTGGTGCCAAAGTAAAAAAGATAGAGCTTATTTGATTACATAAGTCTGTAAAATTTGAAAACGATCCGTGCAGCAATTTTTTTAAAACAACAGTTGAAAATTTTACATTAAAGATGCGTTTTTATTGAGTTGGGGCGAGTTTTGAGCTTTCTCTTGAAGACCATTTTGTATAAAAAAGACCTTTTTAATAGTTTAGGACGCAACAAAATTAGTAAAGAATTTAGTAAAGAATTCTTTTCCATGAAAAGAAATATTTGAAAAGATTGCAAAGACTTATGCACCAACAAAAAGCTATATTGAAACCAATAAAAGCTATATTGAAAGTATATTAAAAGCTGATTAGTTAGTAAAAATTGCATTTCAGAAAACTCTAACTTTATTGTAGCTTCTTTAAATGAAAGATTCTAGTCAGCCGTGCAAATGATGACAATGTCCGGTCTACCTCGAATTACATTTGCTTGCATCGATGTTCGCGATTGTGCAACGGTGAGTTCAAGCTTGATTTGTTAATCCATTTCATTATCCATTTCATTATCCATTTCATAATCCATTTCATTAACAAACGAGTTTTCTAATGGAGTTTCCCAGTTGCAAAAACAAAGTCCAATACACAAAACTTTCATCTTTTAAATGCTGCCCGAAAATGTGCTCCTTTTTCATTTTTGGAGTCCAAAAAAGTTCTATTTGTTGTAAATGTTTTAAGTCAACTGTCACAGGTCATTTGATTTGTTTAAAAACATGCTAGAAAAGCGGAAATTTCAGCTGCTACATTTAAGAAAGACATTCAGTACTTTAGTCAATGAAGTTTGACTATTGAAAGTATATTGAAAGCTGATTAGTTAGTAAAAATTGCATTTTAGAAAACTCTAACTTTATTGTAGCTTCATTAAAGTGTCACTTTCACATAAAATTTATCATTTTTTCTCAAGGCACACGTCGAAGCCATGACAAGGCCCGAGTCAGACGGAATGAGGGTGATCTGCTGTGAGGCCGATCCAATCTACCTGACCGATATGGCAAAACGATTAAGCGAAGAGTTCGTCAGTCAAGGTATTGTCGAAACTTGAAAAAGCCTCAATTGCAAATGATTAGGCTATTCACCAGCAACAAAAACGATTCCCGATTGGATAATCAAGGTCGGCTCAGTGTTTAGCGGGAAACTCTCGGCGCTTGCCCCAAGACTAGGAATGGAGACACGATTTGATAATACGAGGGTTCGTTGTTTAAAAAAATTTGTTTAAAGCATAAAAACAATAACTATTCTTGAGCTTTTTTTGAATTTACTATCCTAGTTTTGCCCAGTATAGTTCAATCTCAGTCTACAGGCTCTTAACTTTGGGAGGTCATATAAAAAAGTTGAAAGCTTGAATCGATTAGATAATGGGTACCGTTTTAGGAGACATACTTAAGATTTCCTTTTAGAGAAATCAGAATGATTGACTCAATTTTGGTCAAGCTAGGTCCTCTGAAGTACAGCGCTATAATTGTGAGTCACCCTGTAGACTGAAAGATTCTTATTTGAGAGTATGACTAACGATATAGATTGAAAGCTTACTATTAATTGAAAGCTAATTCAGCTAATTTAGCTAATTTAAAGATCTTCTTCAGTTACGTGAAGTGCTTGGTGTTCATCCAAATGATTCCCGAGAAGCGATGGTGGATATGGCTTATGAACTAATTGATCGAGGAATCATCAAGAAAACACCGAAATATCGAGGAAAGCCAAAGAGTCGGAATGGGAACACAAATGAGATTCATTCAGTCAAGTTATGAGCTTATCATTTAGAACATTATTTGCAATAAAGAAACTTTTGAAATCTTACGAAACGCGGTTAAGCACAATTACGAGTTTGCACAGTTAAAGCTTGATTCTAAGCACAGTTCATCACTTCAACGTGATTCTAAACAAAATTTTGACTACAATTCACCCATATGAACACATCGCTTTTGCTTTTGCTTGAAGAAATTGATGATTGAATTCTGGAAATGTTCTCAAAACTATGGATGAATATGTGCAACCGGATGGTTCTTAGCTCTAGTTCTAGCTTTCCTGCAAAAGCAGATTCATTGATTCCAAGGCCAAAGGTTTCCTGTTTATATTCAGCTGTTTACCCCATTTCTATTTTGACCACAGCGGGTATCCCAAAAAGTTATTTATCGTAAGCTTTAGAGTAAACAGGTCGTGCGATTTGTCAGAACAAACTTTGCAGGGGGAAATCTGCTTCCTCGTTTTTATAGAGTTGAATGTTCAAAGATCCTTGGTAGACGTTCAAAATCCAAAAGCTAATTTTACCTTAATTTTTACCTTAATCCCAGCTGAAAATTGTTATTCGATTTTCGATTCACTTTTCCAAATCAATTGCTGTCCAATCCAAATCAATCAATCAATCAATCATTGCTCTGTCTCATCAAGAGTTTTTAAAGTCTTTAAGTCAAAGCACTGACAAAATTCGGTAACTTTCCTTTTTCTTAAGCGCATTTTATAGAAAGTACTTCTCAAACCTTCAAAGTCTAATGCATCCCTGTTTTTTGTCCTCCATTCTGACCGTTTTTGCCCTCCATTCTGCCCGTTTTCATTTCCTTTTCGTTTTCATTCATTTCGACCCCATTGACAATAGATTTTGCTTTTTCAACCCTTGAATTTCAACCGAACGGCCATGCCAAATCTGGCCGAATTTTCCCGATTATTAATAGAAAACCAGTGAACAAATGGCCCTATAAATAGTTGACAGTAAGCGAGGGATTCAACATTCAACAACTGCTAATGTCTCTTCTCAGCTTTTGCTTTGCTGTGTGCCTTTTGATCTCAATTCGTTCGGTAAGGTTTTCATTAAGTAAACTAACTAACTAACTAACTCAAAGATAAAATCTTCTCAAATATGTTTAGAGTTGTTTTAATACTCTTGCTCTTTTATCTTTTAATATTTAATACTCATTCAGTATTCATATACAGTCTTCAGTTCTAAGCCTATACAGTATTCAGTTCTAAGCCATGAGCCGATCGGTAGCTTAAATTAGCCGTCAGGGTTATAGATCCTTGAGCCCGGTTGGAATTTCGTTGTAATCGAAAGTCAAAAATTCTCTAAATGCAATCATGAAAAAATGTTAGTATTCTTAACATTTAGGTGGTTCAAGCATCATGTACAACTTGTGTTCCTTTGGCCACTCTTTTGAGTAGTGGTGTTGATGGAGTGGCTAAAAATGGAGTTTCTACTTTTGCGTACGGGTAAGAAATTGGCTTGTTTGATCATAAAAGATTTCACCAAAAGCTAGTTGCAACACATATCTTGAAATATTGAAATCAAATTTAGCACGGATGGTAATAGTTGCAAGACTGGCACCCATACTTGTACAGCACCTGCTCCAAACTCTGCGATGCAAAGCGTGGCGATTTTCGCTAATACGACTTGGGCGGGAAATAGCTCGGTTTGTTTGAGATAGTGGCTTTATTGGAAGCCTTAAGCCCAATCAATTTCTGTCTTAAAAAGCTTTTCAGAGCAAACTCCGCTTAACAAGCCGTAATTTCATTCAAAGTAGTTCAAAGTAGTGTTTATTAGATTTGCCCACAAGTCTTGGTAACATTTTTGTTTAAAAATTTCAACAAAGAGCTTGCAGTTTAAAGTTTGAAAGTTTGCGGTGAGAATCGACTTCTTTTCTGCTGTCACTAAGCGCGGCAAAAAGATTTTCGTTCATGTTTTGAAAGAAGCGCAGCTGAAATTGATGATCTCTGCCCTTTCATGGGGTTCGTAAGGATATGAGGTACCCGTTGGCCAAAAATTGACTTAAAACCCAGCTCATGAAGGTGTCTTTTAATTGTTAAGTGGAATTTCCGCTATTTCACGAGTAGAAATCCGAGGGTTGTCTTGAATTTTTAGAAGAATCTCTTCATTTTTCAATTGAAAAGATCTTCCCGCACGTTCTTCGTCTTCAAGAGAATTCTCACCATTTCTGAACTTGGCAAACCAACGTTGAATTGTGCTTTGAGAAGGGGCGTCGTTGCCGTACACGTTTTAAATATTGTTCTGGGTCACCGACAAAGAAGATCCTTTTTTGAACTCGTACAATATAAGGTGCCTCACTAGGGAAATGCACCAGATCAAAGTGGCTTTTAATACGAAAGCCACTGGGCTTTATAGAATCGGCTATGCTGATATCTTTATATCGGCTATGATGATTCTAAATGTGCTATTACTTTTTCCAAAGGTGCTCTGTAACGCGAGATATCTGGCATCAAAGTTTAGGCCGATTTTTGGAGTCTGCTATTTTTTGGATGTAAACAGAGCCGGGAAATTGGAGCGCATAAACAATTATTTCGAAAGAACAAAGTGTTACCAAGACTTATGGGCCAGTATAAATGTCCTAATCCGTAATACACAATGATTCTTGGGTTTTACAACGATTTTTTATGTATAAAGATAATTTTTTAAGCTCAATTTTAGTATGCTGGCTTGGTGATGCTGGGCTACGCGTGCTCACCGATCGACAACAACGATTTCGCCTTGCCAATTCCCTTCACTTGTAATGCGAACACGGCCTGGCAGTACAATGTAGCTAACATTTTAAGAACTTATTCAAATCAATCAAATCAAATCAATCAAATCAATCAAATCAATCAAATCAAATCATTCAAAGATTCAAAAAGTTATTCTTTAAAAGGCTGAGATTATTAAATCTTCCATTAAGCTAGGATAAGGCACTAGACATGCTTTCCGATCGATCCAATCAGATTGACCCCGCCCACTTCCACCTTTTTGTCGTTGGCAAAATACGTTTTTCTTAGCTTTCCCTGAACCAATTCTAAAACTTTCAGTATCATTCGATAGGGAAAAACATTAGTTATCGAGTGATACATACAGTACTGGACAATGAAATATCATATTTCAAAAACGATCGTCACTTTCGCGCGTCTGTAACTCCCTTGTCTTTAAGTTTAAACTATTAGTGTTATACATTTTCTGAAAGCTCTTTTCAAGGGCTACACAATGGTAATATTAATATTTAGAAATACGGTAAAGACAAGGGAGTTACAGACGCACGAAAGTGACGATCGTTTTTCAGATATGATATTTCATTGTCCAGTAGTGTATGTCCAAATTAGAAAAAGTAACAAAAAAGAAAGTTGGTCAAATTTGGACACTTTTGGTACCATTCGATAGCTAATTCGAATATCGAATGTTACTAAAAGTTTTAGAACTGGCTTAGGGAAAGCTGAAAAAAACGTATTTTGCCAACGGCAAAAAGGCGGAAGTGGGTGGGGTCAATCCGATCAGATCGCATGTCTATAAGGCACTGACGGCGAGCTTTTATTCCAATAATATTTAGCACACAGTTAATCCAATTCATTACCGCAAATCATATTCCACGTTTAGTTGCGATTGATCATCGGTCTCTTCTGCCGGGCCATCTTGAACGATACACAAATGTCGTGCCCAATTGTACCTCCAAAAGAGACTGCTTAATAAATCTTAGAGTAATAAAAAATCAATCATTAAACGAAATAAACCCAAATTCAAATGCTCCAAAATCTGCCTGTAAATTTCCAGAAGATGTTTTGTTTGAAAAGAAAAAAAGAAAAGCTAAGGAACTCCAGCTAAGGAACGTGGAAAGGAAATCCATTTAGCTAGTCCGTTTAGCTGTTTTGTGAAACAATATCCTACAACATTGTGAAACAATTTCCACGAAGTCTACTCCTTCAAAAATCCGCTGAACATCGATAACTTAGAAGAAGTTTTCATAAACCATAAAGTTACATGTTAAATGTAGTGTTTTCATGTTTATATGTCGTAACCGGGGGGTGGGACAAATGCGATCTTTTTTTGCGCACCTGGACATTTGCGCACCTTTTTTTTTGCTGGAAAAGGTCTTAGGAAAGGTCGTAGAGCTTCGAAAATATTTCCATATAAGGGAATCGTATGCGTAGATTCCGAATTTCGACAAATCAGACCTCGCTGACACGTCAAATTTGGGCTAAAAGGCAAAAGCTGCGGAAAAGCGTTAAGTTGCGTAGTTTTTGCCTTTTAGCCCAAATTTGACGTGTCAGCGAGGTCTGATTTGTCGAAATTCGGAATCTACGCATACGATTCCCTTATGTGGAAATATTTTCGAAGCTCTACGGCCTTGCCTAAGGCCTTTGCCAGCAAAAAAAAGGTGCGCAAATGTCCAGGTGCGCAAGAAAAAGGTCGCATTTGTCCCACCCCCCGTCGTAGCCGATGAAGGATTTCAGCCGAAGAAGTCTCAAATTTTTTCGCTAGCAAAACCTTCTTCGGCTAACCGATTAAGTCTCAAAAATGAAATCTTGAGTTTTGTATTGACTCTCAAGTCAATACCACAAACTAAAGCTCTCTAAAAGGCGCTTAAAAGCTAAAAACGCATTCTAAAGAATGCGCATTTTATCATACTGTAACCAAAGGCTATAAAAGGACCCTTTTCCTCATTTTCTATCTGATTCGTCATTTATTTGAAATAGAATTGTTTGTTTTTGTAAGTCAATTTGACCCCTTTGTTGGATCATCGATAAAACTTGTTTACCACTAACCTGCTACTTAATCGGCTAGCATAGCTGTCCAGAAGATAGCTGTCCAGAAGATAGCTGTCCAGAGATAGCCGAAGAAGTCCGAGACTCCTTCGACTGAAATCCTTCATCGGCTACGACATATATAAAACGAAAAAAACCTTATCACTTTCATTGAAACACATTTCACCTTGCACATTACACGTTTTATAATCGACTAGTAATTTGACGTGACGTGATGACGTCATTGAATGACTTGATGTAAAACTTGATGACTATTAAGGCAGAGATGCTCAAAAAATGGCTTTTCAACCTTAAAACGTTGGGAAATCTACAGTCTTCTCATTTTTATCATCAAATGTTCAAAATTTCTTTTGATTAAGAAGATTGATCATTTCCGAAAATAAGAGAAAGGAAATCACATCACTCGAAGCACAAAAGACCAAAATAACTATCGTCTTTTGATTGATATCAATGACTGAAGATTGAAAGGCGAACAAAACTGGAAAACGGACGGGAAATTGGATGATTGGGGAAAAACAACAGATAGGCTCGATAATTCGCCGAAGAGAGCGCGAGGAGTGCGAGCCTTATTTAGTCATTTCATCTATTGACATTTAAAACATTTGAACCATTTGAAAGAGTTGACTATGAAGGGTATCGTATTCCTATTTTTGGTGCTGGCTTTTCTCGCTTGTCTTGTCGTTTTCATTGAAGCAAATCCGAGAGTCAAGTGAGTGAATCGTATTTGAAGGAAAGCTAATTCTTCTCGTTTAACCCATTTTCTAGAAGACACGTTATTTTAGGAAACATCGTAGTCAAACTGTCAGTTTTTAGCGCTACTTTGGTAGCATTCGATGAGAAATCACAAGGATTATTCAATTATCTTGAACTTGGGCTAATTGAATGTAAACTGATAGTTTGATGTAGATTTCTGAGAAAGTTGCCTTTTCGATCACATTTTTATTGAGGAACCCACTCTAAATCTGGTTCTAGAATCTAGAATCTAGAAAATCCAGAATCTCGAAATCTAGAAAATCGAGTTCAAATAAGGCAAAATTGGGCAAAATTGGTATAATATTAAGCAAAATTGATCTAATATTTTATTCAAAGCATCAAATTGAGCCAGAAAAGCGACAGTTAAGTGCAAGTGTCTTTTAGCTGTCAGAAAGTCAAGTTATATCAGAAAATTAATGCAGTAAGCAGCTATTGTAAGAGCTAAATATTTTCCACATGCTTTAGCTAAGTCACAGCCACTCTCACTCACGCTCGCACGAGTGGCATCACCATCATTATCACTCAAATAAAAATAACTTTTATGCAGGGTTAGAAAAGAAGAGCTGTTCTGCTAAAATGGCTCAATCACATTTCAATTCAATCAAATCAAAAAACAAATTAGAAATCGAACAAGAGAAGCTTTAAAATATAGTTGTAGCTCTTGAAAGACTCAGAAAAACAACCTTGAAAGTTATGCTCTCTTATCATAAGTTTTTAGGCGCTGGCACAGCCACAGCCACTCTCATTCTCACTCACACGAGTGGCATCACCATCATCATCACGGCGGATGGGGAGGCCATCAACAACAATATTATCCTCAGCAACAACGTCCATGGGGATGGGGAAAATAATTAACTGAAGAATTTGTAATTGATTTTGTAGTGTTGACTGAGCTCACGCATTGGGTTCTATAAAAGATTTGTCAGACAAAATAAAATTTTATATTGTTCAGTTCCAAAATGACATGAATACGATAAAATTCACAAGATTTCCGCCTTGAAAAATGGTGAGAAAGATAAAATGTCGATAAATATCGAGGTTCTGAAGTTGAGCCAAGATTGATCATTTCCGAAAATAAGAGAAAGGAAATCGCATCACTCGAAGCACAAAAGACCAAAATAACTATCATCTGTTGATTGATATCGATGACTGAAGATCGAAAGGCGAAGAAAACTGGAAAACGGACGGGAAATTGGATAATTGGAGAAAAACAACAGATAGGCTCGATCATTCGCCGAAGAGAGTGCGAGGAGTGCGAGCCTTATTTAGTCATTTCATCTATTGACATTTAAGAGATTTGAAACATTTGAAAGAATTAACTATGAAGGGTATCGTATTCCTATTTTTGGTGCTGGCTTGTCTCGCTTGTCTTGTCGTTTTCATTGAAGCAAATCCGAGAGTCAAGTGAGTGAATCGTATTTGAACGGAAAGCTGATTCTTCTCGTTTAGCCCGTTTTCTAGAAGACATGTTATTTTAGAAAACATCGTAGTCAAACTGTCAGTTTTTAGCCCCACTTTGGTAGCATTCGATGAGAAATCACAAGGATTATTCAATTATCTTGAACTTGGGCTAATTGAATGTAAATTGATAGTTTGATTACGGTAGATTTCTGGGAAAGTTGCCTTTTACATTCTTATAGAGGACTTCCTCTAAATCTAGAATCTAGAATCTAGAGAATCTAGAATCTAGAGAATCTAGAATCTAGAGAATCTAGAAAATCTAGAATCTTGAAATCTAGAAAATCTTCAAATAAGGCAAAATTGGCCAAATTGGTATAATATTTAAGCAAAATTGATCTAATATTTTATTCAAAGCATCAAATTGAGCCAGAAAAGCGACAGTTAAGTGCAAGTGCACTTTTAACTGTCAGAAAGTCAAGTTATATCAGAAAGTTAATGAAGTAAGCAGCTATTGTAAGAGCTAAACATTTTCCACATGATTTAGCTAAGTCACAGCCACTCTCACTCACGCTCGCACGAGTCGCGTCACCATCATTATCACTCAAATAGAAATAACTTTTATTCAGGGTTAGAAAAGAAGAACTGTTTTGATAAATGACGTAACCACATTTCAATTCAATCAAATCAAAAAACAAATTAGAAATCAAACAAGAGAAGCCTTAAAATATAGTTGTAGCTCTTGAAAGACTCAGAAAAACAACCTTGAAAGTTACGTTTTCTTATCATAAGTTTTTAGGCGCTGGCACAGCCACAGCCACTCTCATTCTCACTCACACGAGTGGCATCACCATCATCATCATCATCACGGCGGATGGGGAGGCTATCAGCCATACTATCAACAACAATATTATCCTCAGCAACAATATTACTATCAACAACAACGTCCATGGGGATGGGGAAAATAATTAACTGAAGAATTTGTAATTGATTTTGTAGTGTTGACTGAGCTCACGCATTGGGTTCTATAAAAGATTTGTCAGACAAAATAAATTTTTATATTGTTCAGTTCCAAAATGACTGATAAAATGGCTCAGTCACATTTCAATTCAATCAAATCAAAAAACAAATTAGAAATCGAACAAGAGAAGCTTTAAAATATAGTTGTAGCTCTTGAAAGACTCAGAAAAACACTCTTGAAAGTTATGCTCTCTTATCATAAGTTTTTAGGCGCTGGCACAGCCACAGTCACTCTCATTCTCACTCACACGAGTGGCATCACCATCATCATCACGGCGGATGGGGAGGCCATCAACAACAATATTATCCTCAGCAACAACGTCCATGGGGATGGGGAAAATAATTAACTGAAGAATTTGTAATTGATTTTGTAGTGTTGACTGAGCTCACGCATTGGGTTCTATAAAAGATTTGTCAGACAAAATAAATTTTTATATTGTTCAGTTCCAAAATGACATGAATACGATAAAATTCACAAGATTTCGGCTTTGAGACAAGGCAAACCTACATCGGACACGAGAAATCCCCATACAAATGTTGATCATAATGAATTGTTCCATCCGACTCAAGTTAGCATTGTTTATAGCGATCGGGACGGATTTCGACGATTTGCATTCTGCAAATGATCACTAATGAAAATGAGAAAAAAGCAAACGTATTTGTGATGAAATCCTTCGGAACCCAGACCGAATCGCAATGTACCCAAATTTTTTAAATTCCATTGTAGTCGGATTGATTCCAAGCCAATCGAACATCTCGCCACTCGAGCTCGATTTCAATAAAAGCACTCAACGTTTGATATGCTATATCCTGAAAAGGATAACACTAATCTATCGTATTTATTCTAATAAAAGACGAGTCTGTAATAGAAGATCAGTCTCTAATAGAAGATGAGTCTCTAATAGAAGAACCGTCTCGAATAAAAGACGAGTCTCTAATAGAAGATGAGTCTCTAATAGAAGATCAGTCTCTAATAGAAGAACAGTCTCTAATAAAAGACGAGTCTGTAATAGAAGATCAATCTCTAATATTAGGTTGGCCGACCAGTCTTGACCTTCATTTAAACCCTTCAGCTAAAGGGATATTCCGGCCTAAAAGTTGCCTTTCAAGAATCATGGTCATTTATATATTATTCGATGCGTTTTAGTCTTCTCTACAACTATTTCCTAGAAGAAAAACAAGATTTCCAATCAAGAAGTGAAGAAAAACTCATTTTTTGCTTTCCGCCCCACCTTAAAACGTGGATATTTCGGCGTGAAGTAGATAAAAATTCCGTGCAATTGCATTTTAGAACTTGCGTTCTTTTCTTTTGCATGTATTTTCTCAAATTTAACAGCAAACTTCAAGATTTCTTAATCTTTAAAAAATTTTTATCTATTTTTTAATATATCTTTAACAATCTATCTTTAACATTTATGCTTACCTGAAATCAGTTTGAACCGGCCAACAACAATTTTCTCTTCGGCGACCCTTCTCAAAAGACATTGTTTCTTTTCCGTTTTGTATAAATAGTTTGAAATCAAAAGCACGGTAAACTCAGTTGCAATAGAGCCATGTTTGCATAAGCATAGCATAGATAAAATTGGAATATACAGGGTGCGGCAAAAGTTCTGACACTTTTTCTGTAAGCAGCATTTTTTTGGCTTCAAAAACCCGTGAATTTCAAAAAACTAACGCCGGATTCTAAAAATTTAGGTAGTTTCACCCCAATATAGCCATTTTCATAAAAAAATTTCAACTCTCAATAACTTTTTGACGAGAATTTTTTATATCCCGGGCTGGTCGCTGAAGATTTTTGCGAAAGTTGACTTAAACTTTGCAGAATGAAATTTTTTCCAAAAACTGCTGTTACCATTTGATAGAGCTGTCTTTTTGCTTGAAAACAAGCCACAAAAAACTTTAAACCTCAAAAACGAAAGATTTTCAAGCGATTCTACGAAGGGCACCCAAATCTCAACAGTAAAAAAACTGCTGTAACGACCTTTAAACATCCTCATCAAAATGTTGTTTAGATGGCAATTTTTGTGTAAAAAAGTATATTAGGGGGTAAAAATATCTGAATTTTTATAATCCGGTGTTAGTTTTTCAAAAATCGCGTTTTTTCCAAGTCAAATTGCCCGTTTACAAAAAGTGTCAGAACTTTTGCCGCACCCTGTAGATAAAATTGGATAAAATTTACATTTAAACATTTCATTCGTAAACGGCTAGCGAAAAAGCGAATGATTCGTAAAGGCTGAATTTCGCAAACGGCTACGACCTATATGTTTATTTATTTATTTCTAATTTTATATAAAGTATTTTATATAGAATTTTATATAGAATTTTATAAATTTCACCCAATCACCCGCAACTCTACTATTACGATATTCGTGCCAATGAATGTCGAGCAAAGCCGGGTGGCATTCACGGTCTCCATCTCTACCAATTTGACACCGTCAAGGAATGCCAGAACACATGCAAAAGGCAGACCTTTTGTACATACATTAAATAAATTATTTAATGGCATAATATTGAAAACATCGCCGTTATGTGCAGATCGGCAGCTTCGTCTGTAAGATGCCATCAAAGGGTTAAATGGTCGACAAAAGTGCTTTTTGCCTTCGCTTTTTTATAAGTGATTCAGGAATAAATATCGATAAAACAAATCAGTCTATGATTAGGTTGTCCCATCAAAACCTAGAGATTTTTGTTTTGATCAGTACTCTTTTTTTCATAGTGATTGTTTAAGCGTTTTGTTAACCATTGTTTTATTCAATACTTATCTCAATAAATACTCTATTAAACATTTGCTGTTTATCATAATAAATTCTTAACAATTCAACTTGAGAATAATATTTTCAACAATTCACCAAAAATTTCCTCTTCAGTCATGAAACTTTTCGCATGGTCTGTCTACCAAAAGAAATGACTTGTCTTGTTTGGGTTTTCGAATTCATAACAATTTGTCCAATCAAATAATCAAATAAAATTCAATCAAACCGAGAAGTTTCAATCATTGAATCGTTTTTTCAAATGAAATCATTTCTTGCGATTCTCGCCGTTTCGGTGATCTCTGTGACCTTCTGTTGGGTGGAACCAAAGGTGGGTTACTGTAACGGTTACAATTAAGCTATTACTAAACTCATTTCTAAAGACAATAAGCTTTCCGATCAAAGAAACATTGGCTTATATATCCCATTCAGGCGAAAAACAGTTTCACTTCCAGACCTTCTGCGAAACGGATGCATATTGTCAAGATCGTGGATGGGAATCGTGCAAACTCATGCCGAATCGGACTTATGGGATTTGCCAAGGACTCATTGTATGTAGCTCGAGCTTTTGTGTGCTTCAGAGCTAATATAAGTCGGCGATCTAAATCTAAAAGATCTAGATCAATCTAAAATATCCATAACTTTTGTCTGATAATCCCAACCATAATCCTTGACTATTGACCAGACTTGGCTTAACGGCACTTGACACACTTATAGTCCAGTGCCGGCACCGAGACGGATGCCGTTAAATCGAAGTCTACCCAAATAAATGAAGCATGCCAGAACTGATGCAAAAGGAGGACCTGATTCTGGAAAATTCTTTGGTTCTATATCAAATAGAATCAAAGAATTTTCCAGAATCCGGTCCAAATTATTTAATGGCAAAATATTGAAACCATTGCTCAAATTGGATGCACTTAAAGGTTTAAAATGCAATAACAATGTACTAACTATTAAAATTTTTGTTTCATTTTGCTCTTTGTCCATAAAAAAGATCGTTCATCAAATAAAACAAATACAAAAACCGTGCAAGTGAAAATAAATGACGTGTTTTCTCTTTCGATTTAGAGAATCTTTCGATTCTCTGATCTAAATATGGAAAGATCACTAAAAAAGAGATCTTTGAGATGAGAGAAAGACAGAAACGAGTATTCGGCGAAATCATCAAAATAAAAACAGGTTCGAAAAGGGTATAAATGATTGAAATTCTAAATAATAACAATATCAACTACCAATTGTCATTCAAAAGTTTTGATCACATTATTTCGCAATGAACTCTCTTTTCGTCATTCTCCTCATCGCTTTTTCTTTCACCGTTTCCATGGCGGTTCCACTTTTTGGTGAGTTTTTAGCGAAATTGTTTTAATACAAACATTGATATCTATGGCAAGCAGCTGAATTTCTATTCCTAATGTTCAGAATTACGATAATTGAGGCCTTGACGATTCCTAAAATGTGTTAACTTTCGAAAGCGATCGTAATTTTGTTCTTGGCTTTCGTCCGATATACTTTCATTTGTTAAGTTTTAATATCCTTAAAGAATCCTAACATAACCAGGATTTAGATAAATTTGGTAAAAACTAGAAGCAAAATTACAATCGTTTTAAGATTACAATAGTAAAAGCAGGGCTGCAATAGTAAAAGCAGGACTACAATAGTAAAAGCAAAGTTACAATAGTAAAAGCAAGAGTACAATAGTAAAAGCAGGACTACAATAGTAAAAGCAGGACTACAATAGTAAAAGCAGGACTACAATAGTAAAAGCAGGACTACAATAGTAAAAGCAGGACTACAATAGTAAAAGCAGGACTACAATAGTAAAAGCAGGACTACAATAGTAAAAGCAAGACTAGTAAAAAGCCAACATTCTAGAAAACGCCTAATCTAGAGGAATATTCACCAGTTTCCAATTATAAACAACTAGTGGATAGTTCATGTATCTAAACTAGAGCTATAATAAGTATTCGACTCATTTTAATAATCAACTAAATAACATTTTCAGGCTTCTTTGGCCATCACCATCATCATTTCTATCCACACAGTGATTTCCACATGTTCCCATTCCCTCATGTCCATCATCATCCATTTGGACACTGGAAAGTATAGATGATCTCAACAAATTCAAAAGTCACCACCTAAGATTAGCTTTGAAATAAAACTTAAAGCTCTTTGCTTCTCAAGAATGTCGCAATCGATTACATTTAAAACAGAATGCTGCCCAGAAAGGTCCAGCTAACAGTGTTTTGCAATTGCAGCAAGTAAGAAGAGGAAATTTTTATAAAAATAGCAATATAACTGCAAATCCATTCACTGGAGAGCAATTGCTCAGTTGTAAAAGCAGTTGTTGGCAAACATCCGACACAAACGGCTCCAATAGTCCAGACGGGCACTCTCCCCTGGTGAGGCCCCGGGTGTAAGAAATATATTTATACTTTGATCTTTATAATTTCTTGTGAGACCGTGTCTCGGCGTGGTTTAATGGTGGATGTCTTGAAAACGCACAATTTATTCAAAACTTTCCCTTATTAGGGCAAACTTCGCTCAAACTGGAGCAACCTAGCACCATCACAATTACTTCAACACTTGCGGGTGAAAAAAGGATGAATGGGAGTGGGACAAATGCGACCTTTTTGCGCACCCGGACATTTGCGCCTTTTTTTCCGCACCTTGCCCATTAGCGCACCTTTTTTCGCGTTTTAAAAAGGCTCTAAAAGCTAATATTAACCAATTTCTATTCCAAACGTTGTTTTTCTAGGTAATTTGAGGGCGTAGAATTCAAATTTTGACATAACAGAGCGTGTGGAACCAATTTGAAAGACAAAAAGGCTAGATCAAATTACAGAAAATTGTCGATTTTTCTCTTTGTATAACTCCGCCCGTTTGTTTCCACAAGCTCTGATATGTCAAAATTTCGATGGTTCCAATATGGTTCCAATATGGTTCCAACATGGATCCAATATGGTTCCAATATGGTTCCAATATGGTTCCAACGTGGCTCGAATAAGGTTCCTTCCAATATGGCTCCAATATGGCTCCAATATGGATCCAATATGGTTCCAATATGGTTCCAATGTGGTTCGAATAAGGTTCCTTCCAATATGGTTCCAAATAAGGGCAAACTTTGCTCAAACTGGAGCAACCTGGCACTATCACAATTACTTCAACACTTGCGTGTGAAAAAAGGGATGAATAGAAAAAGGAGCCCACAACTGACTCAAGACAAAGCTTAAATAATGGGTTTTTAAGTACACAAGCTACGACAAACGGACAACTGAATATCGTCTAGTGACTGATTACGGTAGTTTATCCATCAACCTTGAATTTTAACTTGTGTATTAAATTTTGACTAACTGCAGAACAGTGGCAATTCGCCACACCTGGAAAGAATTTACCATTTTGTTTCTATTCAATAAAGATTGTTGGCTTACTATTGATAATCTGCCTTACTTTGGATTAAAACGATAAAGCACAGCAAATGTTTCCGAGGCGGTGGTTGTGAAATTGGTGAAATTTCGATAGGCATAACTGAATGTTTTTGGCTTATCCGGAAACAATCTGTAAATGAAATTTCAGTGATAAGTCGAGTTGAATGAGTGGAACACTTTGTTGCTCTGAGAATTAATCTTACTTTGAATCCGAAACATTGAATATTATAAGAAACCAACTGTGTTTGTATGTCTGTCTGTTCACCTCATAACTCACGTCCCAATAGGAATTTTGTTATGAATTTTTGGGACAATATGTAACCAGCCCAGGCGGTTTTGCCTGCCAAATCAGAATTGAAAAATCTCAATCCGTTTTTGAGTAAAGTTAGAAAAACCTATTTTGGCGGCGAGATCAAAGGCACTTCAAAAAATACATTTAAGCTTATTTTCTCGGAGTATACATGGAAAAATATGCTGATCTTTTGGAAATAAAAATTTCTGAAAGATTCTGAATTTCTGAGAAAGCGGTGAAAACGGAAAATCTCAGAGACCAGCCATTTCTGAAAGATTTTGAATAACTGAGAAAGCGGTGAAGGCGGAAAATCTCAGATGGAGGCCGCGAACATCAAAGTGATTTATGGTTATACCGGGGTTTTTTTCCTTTTAAATTAATAGGGGAAACTGCGCCGGCGCACTCCCCACTAGGCAATTGGGTTTGTCGAGCGCGCGATAAAGAATTCTTAGCTTTTAGGAGCCATTTTCCGAGTAGATGCCCATTGTTTGAACTCGAGAATGCGAGCGAGAAATTGGAGAACTTTCTCGAAAATGCGGCCTCTTTGGCAAAAACTAAATGCAGTATTAAATTTCCGGTTGCCAAATGACGTTTGCAACTTCGTGCCATCAAAAATCTCATATCTCCCGGACCATTCCCTTGTCAGCAGCCGTAGCCCAGCTACTATAAGCCTTTACATTAATCCTGTCTCAGTTTACGGTATTCTTTGCAAACCGTACAAATAAAACATGTACGGGCTAATTTTAGGTTACCGTAGCCAGGTCACATTTTAAGGCACTAACCGGCAACTACCCGTTCAACTACCCGTTGCCAAACTTTTGCCATAACTTTTATTCAGATCATTTACATTGATCTAGCAAAGAGTTGAATTTTGAAACACATTTGAAAAGTCATCAATCCATGAGAATATTCTTAGATTTGAACCGGTACAACTTATTGCGATCAACGCTCTCCACACGTTTATGTGATCCAAACAGCCGCTGCTCAACAGTCACAAAATGAACCAGTGTAAAGGATACAAAACTATCAAGAACACTTGAATTTTAGCTGTTCAATTCTTATTGAAAATGTTTTTCATTGATAGGTTTTAAAACGAAAACTCGTGCTTGATGGTATTATTTTGCCAGAACGAAACACTTTATTAAAAAGTTAATTCACGATGGTGGGGTGGTTGTTGAGTTGTTGGTTGTTGGGATGGTTGTTGAGAAGAGGGATCGGTAAATATCAACTATACTTAGATTTCTTGATGACGGGATGTGAACTAGTTGATTTCCTCTCTCGCATGATCCCTTTGTCTCGTTGACGGCCTTCTCACATCTCTCACCGAATCCACTCTTCACACAGAACTCATCATCAGAACAGATATTGGCCTAAAAATTTTTGATTCTAGGATTCAATCCATTGTCTTGCAGAGCTTGATTTATTTGATTTATCTGGGTAGACTTCGATTTAACGGCATCCGTCTCGGTGCCGGCACTGGACTATAAGTGTGTCAAGTACCGATGTCAAGCACCGATGTCTGAAGCCAAGTCTGATCAATAATCAGTGATGATGGTTGCGATTATCAGACAAAAGCTATGGCTATTTTAGATTAGAACTTATATTAGCTCTCAAACACTTAAAAGCTCGAGCTACATACCATGCGTCCTTGACAAATCCCTTGAGTCGAATTCGGCATGAGTTCACACGATTCCCATCCACGAGCTTGACAATCGGCACCCGTTTCGCAGAGGATCTGGAAGTGAAACTGTTTTTCATCTGAATTGGATATTTAAGCCAATGTTTCTTTGATCAGAAAGCTTATTGTCTTTAGAAATTAGTTTAATAATAGCTTAATTGTAACCGTTACAGTAACTCACCATTGGTTGCCTGCCATGACAACAGAAGGCCACTGAGATCACCGAAACGGCAAGAATCGCAAGAAATGATTTCATTTGAAAAAAACGATCGAATGATTGAAACTTCTCGGTTTGATTGAATTTTATTTGATTTTTTGATTGGACAAATTGTTATGAATTCGAAAACCCAAACAAAAGTCATTTCAGGCAAAAATGATGCGAAAAGTTTCA